TCGATGGGCTGAATTGCGCAAAACGCATGATCGCACCGGCTAGTCTGGTGCGCGTTGCCACTTATTTTTTTCTGCACGACAACTCAATATTTCATATCCCCACTTTATTTTCAGGTACTTCTGAGCCTGCTGAGGGCACATAATAGCGATCCAAGAGAAATTGTTCGACAAGCACTGGATGTGTTAACACCAGCTGTACCAATTCGTATGGAAGATGGTCACAAGCAGTTGTTATCAATGCTCCGGAAATTAATTGTTGAAGAATCGCATGACACACAATTGCTTTTTCACTGTTTGTAAGTAAATTTTGAAATGACAGGAAAGGAATTTAGTTTCGGTTTTTTTGGGGGCGAGAGGGGGAGGGGAGAAGTTGGCACCAATTTTCAAACTTCAATTTATTACTTTGAATTCATTATTGGAGACAAGCAGTTCTTATTGCAGTTGTTTCCATCAACAAAAAATTTGGTGCTAACCCGATGAGCACGCTGGGAGCCACATTACTTTTAGGATAGCTTTTAATTAACCTTTGGAAAGGATGTCCGTGAGCAACACTGTTAGGAGCTGTTGGGTTTTAACCAGATAATCTTATTACGAGCGCTTGCGAATGCCTTCGGGGATCTTTCGCCGCCCAGCGATTAACAGTTTGCCCTGCTGATGGTCATAGCACTCGTTTTGTTCTCTTGAAGAGATTATCAACTCAGTAGTTCACTAGACAGAAGTGCTTGGCAAAGCGTTAAACTTCGTGAGATGACCGTGGTATTTGTTAAGCATCTCCTTCAAGCACTGCTTTCTCTTCCATCTCCCTACTGTTCACAACAGTATGACAGTTTCACTGACTAGAACAAGTAGGTTACAGGTGCTACTCCATTTGGTTTACAGTCTGCCAGATGTATCAACAGACATATTCTTGTCCCATTTTCTGAACGATGCTTTATATATAACTGTGGGTTTTATCAGCGAGAAAGTAAACGATCACTAGAGCGGTCGCTGAAAAAAATGAAACGCTTACGTAGAATAGGCGGGGAATACTAACTGGGAGGATTGTGGCATAGCTGCATCCGGCATGTGGGAGAATTCTAGTAACATCATTTGCATTGAGCACATTGATTGCTTGGACGACTTTGTTTTTCTAAAATCACAAAGTCTTTGACTTATGTAAAAGAAATGTACTGTAAAAAAATTGGTGTAAAAAGTACAGTATAAAAGAGCATTTCTTTTAAAAAATAGTGAGTAGCATTTGTTCGACAATAGTTTTTATGCGTTTTGTGCTGTGTAACAGTAGTACAAAACGCATATTATTACGGGGTTGTCTGTGCGTGTGAAATGTACTGTAAAAAAATTGGTGTAAAAAGTACAGTGTAAAAGAACTATTTTCCAATTGTTAAACTATTTTTACATAGACGAAAGTACAAAGCAATGAAAATCATTAATAGGCAATCGTTCGATGGACTGAATTGCATGAAAGGTATGATCGCACCGGCTAGTCTGGTGCGCGTTGCTATTTGTCTTTGATATGGGTCAGTAAAATTTTTCTGAAAAATGGTTGTTTTTTTTTTCCAGATCAATGATCATTCGACAGTATAAAATTTACTACCACGTACGTCATCAGTTGATTCAAGCAATCCTGAACGCTGCGCAACGATTGATGGTGACACAGAGTAACCTGGAAAATCGTCGCTTAACAATTGATGTCTGTGAAATGCTAATCAAATGGGAGCAATGGCGACTGAAGCAGATCGGGGATTGGGTAAAATCTTTCTACGAATTTTAGCTTGTGATGTATGCCGTAGCTGCGTTAGACGTGTAAGGCCATCCCAGTAGTACCTACTCGATCTTTTAATATTGTATATTCTACAGTAGAGAAGGAGGATTGAACTTAGGTGACATGTACAAAAAGACATTTTACGGTGCAGCCTGTGTTTTATATTTAAAATACTCTTAATTAATCACCATCGCACTGACGAGTTTGGATCCTTTCGATTCAGCTTTTCTTCTCTCGGGATAGAAAAAGCCATTGTTCCTCTTTTCCCCGCCACTCCCAAGATGTGCATCTTGACTACGTTGTTGTGGTCTTTATATGGTAGGTGTTGTAGTCACTTTCA